TCGACGCCGACCTGCCGCTTAGCATGTGGGCTGAGGCCAGCAATTACATGGTCTATGTCAAAAATCGTAACCCACACAGCGCTCTCGACCTTCGTACCCCTTTCTCCATCCGCTTCCCAAACCGCAAACAGCCGAAGTACAGGTCTTTTCACCGTTTCAGTTGCAGGGCTTACCTCTATAATGACAATCCTAATCGCAAAAAGTTCGACCATCGCGGCGAATCGGTTATTTTTGTTGGGTACCCGGATGATCGCAAGGCTTGGAAGGTTGATCGCCCCTCAAAGCGTACCTTCGGATCGTCGCCTCATATCAAATTCGACGACAACTCAAATTGTGGGGAATTTCGGGCTGAGGGGGAGATACACTCATACAAATATTCTTCTCTCAAATCGTCTTCGATGATGATGATTACAGCCCTCCTTCCTCCACTTCTACGCCTCCAACTGCCAATCCGGTACCTCCTCGTGCACCATCCCCTCCTGCTCCGGCTGGACCTGCGGATGTTGTGTCACAACCTAAACCCCGGGCACCTCGTCAACCTCGTCCTCTACCACCTCCGCGCGACCCATCTACCCGAATCCGGGAAGCCGCTGAGCTCAAGGCCGCCGCCGCCGCAAACCTTAATTCAAGGTTGGCAGCAGCGCCAGCTCCAGAGGACCCTGACCGTGCGCCGGAAGATTCTGCTTTCGCGGAATCCTGGGACGAATTTGAGTACGCTCATATCATTGGTCCCGGCGAAGTTCCTCGCAACTACAAGGAAGCGATGGAATCGCCCGATCGTTCCGAGTGGGAGAGCGCGATGGAAGTCGAGCTCGATAGCATTGCGAGGATGGGTACATGGGAACTTGTCCCACCACCTCCCGGTGTCACTCCGCTTGGTTCGCTCTGGGTCTATGCCTTGAAGCACGACAGTACTGGTGCTATCACTCGGTACAAAGCTCGTCTATGTGCTCAGGGTACACCCCAGCGCCCAGGTATCGATTTTTCGATGTCTTTTGCTCCTGTTGTGAAGTCAGAGTCGCTTCGTTACCTCCTAACCCTAGCTGCAAAGCTGGACTGGGAATTCCACGTTGTGGACGTCGACTCCGCCTTTCTCAACAGCGAGACGGATCCAGACGAGCCACCTATCTACATGCGACAGCCTCAGGGCCATCGTGTTCGTGGAAAGGAGGACTATGTCTGTCTCCTGAAAAGGGGAATTTACGGGTTAAAGCAAGCCGCACTTCTCTGGTACCAAAAGTTACGTTCCATTTTGGTCAAGATTGGTTTCCGGGTGTGCATTGCTGATACGTGCGTCTTTATTCGTCGCCTGGAGAAGGCTATTTCCATCATCAGCGCCCACGTTGATGATCTCGGTTTATTCTGCTCCTCTGTTGCAGAGGTCAAACTTTTAAAGAAGCAGATTTCCGAGCATGTCCGAATCAGAGAGTCAAAATCCATTCTTGGCCTCGAAATCCTGCGTGATCGTTGCGAACCGCACCATCTCCTTGTCTCATCGCTTCTATATTGACTCGATTGTGGCTCGGTATCGCATGGAGGATGCACGGCCCGTATACTCGCCAGTCAACACGTCGGCCGCTCCGCTTTCCGAGTCTCAATCTCCTCAGACTTCGGAAGAACTCCAGCGCATGGCCAACGTTCCCTACCAGCACGCCGTTGGTTCGCTTATGCATACCGCTGTTCAATGCCGTCTAGACATTACGAAGGCAGTCCAGTCCGTATCGCAATTTAGCTCCAACCCCGGTGAAGCTCATTGGGAAGCCGTTAAACGGATCCTCGCATATCTCAAAACCACACGCGACTCTGTCCTTGTTCTAGGCGGCAATGAAGACCTTACCCTTCACGCTTTCAGCGATTCAGATTGGGCAAACTCGAAGGATCACGCCCGATCCATATATGGGTATGCTGTCTTCGTCGGATCCAGCTTAATCGCTTGGTCAGCGAAGAAGCTTCCACGACTCTTTCGACTGGCGAAGCCGAGCTCTACGCTGGCACACATGTCGGGCGTGAAATCATGTGGCTCCGCTCTCTTCTGTTCGAACTTGGTTTCCTACTACCTTCCGGACCGACTTCCCTTTCTATCGACAATACTTCCAACATCCGGATGATTGTCAATACTGATGAAGTCACCGCTCGAACGAAGCACGTCCACATTGCCATCTGGTGGATCCGTGAAGCAGTCCTCCATCGCTGCATCGTCTCCGTTTACGTCCCTACGGAGGTGAATGTTGCCGACTTATTCACGAAACCACTGCCGGCACCACGCCACAAGACTCTCGTCAAGATGTTGGGCATGGCTCCCCGACCGGATGCTCGTTGAGGGGGAGTGTTGAAGTATTTATTATTCCGTTTACTTACCGTACATTCCTTAATATTCCAACTCGCTATCCGTAGAGTTACGCGTCACACGCTCCTTATGTAGTATCGTGTCACCGTCACATTCCTCAGTCGTTTCCTCCACGACTGAGGTATGTGAATCCTTACTTACAGTCCCTACAGTTTACTGATTCTCCTGGTAGTTAATACTTACTTGTATTCTATCAGGTATATAATACACGAGTCGTTTCCTCCACGACTGAGTTAATACTTACTTGTATTCTATCAGCGCTTGCTATGCATTATGAGATGTTCAACTGTATATGGAAATTCTGCTCCGATTCGAGCACCTTGATAAACATGTTGGGTATGTGGACAATGGTCCACATAGGAGGGTAAGCTTGCTTCAGTACGAATGGGAATTCAATATCGTAGTCGAAAACGTCCAATTCATTCATGTACAGTAGCTAATCTTGCTAAATTCGGGCAACATCATTGGCTCAAGCAGTGTTTCCAACTTATTTCAGTTGACGAACCTCAGAACCGCCTCAGTAACCGCCCTCATATTCACCTTCAAAACCCTTCTACTCCTTATGAATCTGGTAGCACACTCAGTGGCCCTGCTTTCTTTGGGTTATTGATTTTGACAGCTAATGCTTATACTCACTGGTACTGGATAGTGGTAAGTATATTAGAGCCTTTGCGGTAGCTGCTGGCGGCTAATTTTTCTCACGACCCACTAAGCACCTGGTCTCAAGTAAGCCTCCCTGAGCAGCTGTTATGAAGGACATCTCAAGGTGGCTAAGTTGGCCCAGTAGCATCAGCAGTCGTTGTGTGGCACGAGCCGCCAGTTCGTGTGGCGGCTCACCGCAAAGGCTCTATTCAAGACACTGGTAGTAGCACAAAGTCTGGTAGTTTTTTTGAGTTTGCTCAAAGCATTTCCCGAGCCCCGGCACTGGTGGCGATTTTAAAAGTGCTTGTAACTTGAGGAGGCTTTTGGGAGGCTTGTAACTTACAAAACTTGATGCTTACTGAATTCTTTCTTAAGGAGCAGGCAACCCTTGAGTATACAGTATAGGTGCTGGTAGGGTATATATATTTATTTACAGCACATGAGGTTCAAACAGGCCGATTGAACTTGGGTTGAACCAAAGTTGAACACTCAGAAAAGCTCGGAAAAGTTTATTCGGCGCACAGTCCGAAAGTCACATGGCAATGACAGTGCCGGCTGTTCCCGAAGTTCGAGCCCACGGACTCAGGACTCCAGGACAGTGCTTACAAAGCATCCGGACGGAGATTTGTAAGCATCTGCATTCTGGAGCCCTATACCGATGAATGCAAGCTTCCCCATAAACAGTTTGTGCGAGCGACCCAGGTCGCTTTTTGACCGCTCAGATCTCCGCAACAACAGATACCAGGTGTGAGCTCCAAGCGGCCTAGAAGAGTATTGCCCAAGGGCATGCCTAGGTCGCTGAGACTTCACACTGAGGCTACTCGTTGTGGGGATTTGAGCGGTCCCAAAGCGACCCGGGTCGCTTTGCTCAAACCCGCTAATATTCATCGTGTGCCGGAAAACTTCGACGAGTGTTGGGGATGCGTTGACTATAGCACGAGATGCCCATGAAGATGATATGGCTCTCCTTCCGAACTTGACTCCACTGGAATCCGACCCCGATAATTATTATATGGGCGGTGTTAATAATGGCCGAGGCCCGGATTCAATCTGATTTGCGATTTAGACGACTCTCAGAAAGCTCATCTCGATGAGATGATGGAAACGCTTCCCCCGGGGGTGAATGATATTGAGGAGGGCGAAGAAATACTTGCGTGGTTTTCAGACTAAGAGGATGAACAAGAAGAAGGTCTGGGCTTCGACTGAGATAAATCAAGCTTCAAAATGGCATTGTATATCTACTTCGTTACATGTCAATTCTAAGATTGTGGGTGCAGTTTCCATCCAAAGAATGCATGGAATTTAGCAAGAATTTAGCGATTTTCGGAAAGAGATGTTCAAAAGATGCCTTGTCCTCCAGCGCATCCAAATTTCGTTCACATCATCGTCGCGGAGTCTGAAATGAAGGATAGCTCTTATACTTACATGAAAACGCACCCGCCTCGACTCCTATCAAATTGAGCACCTTGGACCTTTCACGGGTTTCTTGAAATAAGAGCCTGCAGATTGATTTTCCTCTAGCAAAGCGAAATATCAATCCAGAGATTGTGGCGTGGTGGAAAATTAAAAGGGGTATATCATGTTGCTCCTGGAACGTTCCCAGCCTATTCTAATCAACCATTGACTCGAAAAAGAACGAGACTCGGCCAATCTCCCGAAACATTAGGGAGTTTGTGCGAGCGACCCAGGTCGCTTTTCAACCGCTCAGATCTCCGCAACAACAGATACCAGGTATGAGCTCCAAGCGACTTAGGAGAGTATCGACCTGGGGCATTCCTAGGTCGCTGGGACCTCACACCTGAGGCTGCTCGTTGTGGAGATCTGAGCGGTCGTAAAGCGACCCGGGTCGCTTTGCACAAACCCGCTATTGCCTGGCTTTCTTAGCCTTGTTTTAGAGGGCTTTCCTCGCTGTTTTTCTCTGTACTTCGGGATAGGAAATTTGGACTAGTTTTCGATTTGATTCGGAAACTCAGAAAAAATCAGACTGGAGCTGATTCACAGTGCCGCGACGAAAATGGTAGCTCAGTTGGTAGAGCCACCACTATATATGCGGGAGGTCTCGAGCTCCGAGTTCGATCCTCGACCATCCTTTTACACACTTTCAATAACCTCCGCGGAAATTCGGGTTTTCAATGTGACGAACCTAGTAGGTAGTGACCGGGGGCCTGTAGCGCCTCTTTCAGTGTTGAGTGGCTTGTTATAACTCAGATCCCAGATCTGGCTTCGATTTCTGGAATTCTGGAGCTTATTCGCGCTTCCTCGGCTCCCGACTCGCGCGCCCGCGAAGCAGTCGGAATGGGCGGGAGTAGACCCAATGTTTTCTGTCGTTGTTTTTGAGGTGAAGTCAAGTCGCACCGGGCCGGATATGATCACTTCTTATGATGTTTTGCTACAAAGCAGAAGAGCTTACCACAACAGTATTTGCATCATAGGTTCAAAGCCGAACATAAGTCACAAAGAATATGTTTTTTAGGTCCAGTCGCCGTAATCAACGTTATCGATCAACCATTGCCCTCAAGCCCATTTTATCTTGTTCACCCGAATTTTTGAAATTGCGGCATTGGATACAGGGAGTCCTTGGCGAGTCCCGTTTTGGTCCCGTTCGTTTCCGCCATGTACATTGGGAGAGGGATTAGGTATGTAACTGTATGTACAGTATACCTCCCATACATTGGAGCGAGTGATTGGTGGGCTATTAATCTCAGCGTGAAATTCGGTTGCAAGGATAGCAAGCTGCAAAACCTTCGGGCACAGGTTGAAAAACATTGTGGTCTGGTGGTGCATAGAGATTGCGAACGTGAGCCACTGCTTCGGGATCAACATTGACCTGACGACGCCAAATGAGAAACAAAACTCAATCTGCCGATGATTTTCCGCACCTTAAAATCCAGAACACCATAATTTGTCGGGAATTCATACATATGATTTGGCACCCCATGTGGCAGAACTTTGTTCCTGTCAACCCTCTTCGCAGTATTATTGACTCGATCGCGGTATGCATCCAGCTCCCTTTGAAGCCAGGGTATAAAAACCCATCGAAAGACCAGTCTGCTCGAGGTATCAATATGACAGAAGTTTTAAACTTGAACCAACGCAGCACTCACGCTTGGATCAAGATATTTGGATCATACCAGCCGTTGTTCACACCAATATCGAGACTGGAGTAAAACGGCGCCGGAGTTGTGACCAAGAAATTTCTGGTGGTATATTCTTCTTCTCGTTCATCCAACGGTGCTGAAGTGTACCAATCAGACTCGAGTCATGCAAATGGCGGAGCAAGGTATGTCCGTTAGCAACCCCGAGATTTTCATCTCTGAGAAATGAGTGGCATAACTGTGAATAGGTTAGATAATACCTGAATCAGCACGTACAGCCGCCTTCGAGAACAACATCCAGATAATAGCTAGGAATGTTGGTTTTTGAACGTATCGTGTGATAACACCTCTTCCGACGACGTACAGTGGCGGCAAAATCTGATGTCAGCCCCAAAAAAGGAAATTTTTATCAAACCGCCTCTAATCTGCCCTTGCCATCGCCGTCTGGGGGCGACAAGGGCACAGATCCATTGGCACGGCAAATACACTGCCTGTGGAAGCAAGATTGAGAAAGATAGGTACATTCATTGAGGAGAACTGGGCCAAAGATGGTTGGAAAGTCTTGCTCAAAAAGTGTCAATTTTCGAGGTATCATATCCTAAGACGGAAAAGGGGTGCATGTGTTTCAAATCTATTGAATGCACTGTGAAAGGTTCGACCACAGAAAACAGGGCACAGAAAAGAAAACGGGTTGAATTGATGAGAATTTCCTTGTTTGGGGTGACATCAGATTTTGCCGCCACTGTATGCAGAGCTCGCTCTCTGATGGGCCGCAGCGCGTGACAACCATCAAGTCAAGGCATCAAGTCTCTTCGACTACGTTCGACACCACACCAGCGCTGCAGAATCTGCGTCAACGGCTCTCCCTCTTATATCCCAAGTATCCCGGCCACTTATACAGTGGCGGCGCCATCTGATGCCACCCTTAAAATAGAACAGCCTATTTCTGGAACTTAGGATGCAAAATTGCAAATGGAGTCGATTGGGGTCACATCAACTTTTTTGGGGGTGGCATCAGATGGCACCGCCACTGTATATCACCATCTCCTCCTTCAGAGCCCGCACCAGCATACAAAATAGAAGGACTCAAAGCTCAATGGTCGATGACACAAATGCTCCGCTTTGGGAAACGGTGTGTAATAAGAATCCATATCTCATCCCACTTGCTTATGATGGTTAGTTCATTTGCTCCCTGCTGCTTCGAGTGCTGGGGGATTTACTGAAGAATTTGTCGTCCTCTTGAATGAGTTTATTCTCTTTCAGAAATTGCAGACATTGCTCCATCAAGCTGGTAAGAGTATAGAGGTCAGCACATCTTTGATAATGAATGAATAGACTCACCGTCTATAGTCCTTGTCAGTTTCATCCTTTTGAGGCGTCCAGTAGGTGCTCCTGCAACTGACACACATCATAGATACTGCCCTCCGGTAGTGTTTCGCCCTCAGCGTCAAGATCGTCTTGAATTTCTCCGGAGTGGGCGCGAGCATGTTTGACGAAGGAGAAGAGGTTCAAATCGACACGAGGCAGAACACCATCGACGTGGGAGACATCAACAAGTGCCGCGAAAAGCGCTCACGACGCGTAGTACAGGATATTTACCTGCTTTCGTGCTTTAAGCTCGACAAATTAGGGATTCATTTCCGTTTATCAGCTCAGCAGCTTTTGCAACAGCTATGGATTACGCCGCAGGCAAGCAAAAACAAGAGTTGAGGGTTTGTTTCTCAATTTGCTTCCTGCCGTCTCCCACCATCGATCTCCTTCAGCAGCCGCCAACCCGAACGCTCGTGCCTTCCTTTTCAAAGCTTCAAGTCTTCAACGCTGCTGGTAGCCTGCTGTGTTGGTTTCTCCACACAACTCTATCGATTACGCACTGCTTGGTTGTCGCTCAGTGTCGCTGCGATCTCCAAGAATATCGCTACAGGTCTGATGAACCATTGTCAAGTTTCTTTCCATTCCTCGTCAAACGGTCACTTTGTGGCTTCAATATTACCCATCTTTGTCATTAAACATTGCTCTATAGCTGTTCATACTCAACGCAATCGAATTGCACTCGAATCAAGCCGTGCCACTGCCTGCCCTCAACCCCAACAATCTTTTTTTCTTACATTTTTTCAACGTGGATGGTCTGAGAATGCTGGCAAGCCTAATCAATCAACTCATTGAATATTTTATGCCGTCCCGTCCCAATTGATCAAATTCAAGGCACTTCATCGGAGCTCGAATGACCGCCGCCTCAATATGGTTCTGAAGATTTACAATGTTTGGGCCAACTAGCTCCTTGATGAGAATAACAAGCAACACAGTAGGTATTTGGATACAGAGATACTGGAGACTTCTGACTCTTCATCACTAGATCCTTGAGCTGAACCAAAGCTGTCGTGGCTTGAGGTACGTCGCTGAAAAAGAAAAATTGATTGGCAGCTCGCTTTTCGGGTTCAGATTCGAGTATGTAGTGTATTTCGAGTCCATCGGATTTCGAGTCCATCGGAGCGAAGTGCAGCTCGTGCAGTCCGTATTCTTTCACTAATGTTGTTGTCGATATTGACGTCAAACTAACATACAGGGAGCAGCGGGACTGTGACGAAAGATACCGTTAAGTAATGGTTTCGGCACACGAAAGATTTGTTGAGAGCTGGTGGCGAACAAAGTGACTGTTTTAAGTTCTAGATTCACCAAAGTGTAAAATAAAGTACAAGATAGTATTTAAAGTAGACTAAGAATCAAGACAAGGCGGAATGAGATCATACATGAGCGCAAAGTAATGTACGGAGCGGGAAGTGGAGGGTACGTCTAAGTCAAACACGGTCACGAGATAATAGAGAAAAATGATAGTGTAACACTGTTACATACGCCCTCCAGGTTGACGCCTCGGCAACCTCAATCTAAGTTTGCATCTCATCAGGACCTCCCGCGGACGGTCCCGCGCGCTTCTCGGCGGCTTTCTCAGCAGCGGCCTTTTCAGCAGCCAACTCAGCCTCGATCTGAGCATCCAATTCCTCTCGCTCCTTCTTTTCCGAGCCTTCAACGCCAAGCGCTGAGCCATAGCCGTTGCCTTCTCATACTCCGGAGCATCCCGCTGCTGTCTCTTAACACGCCCCTCGGCCTTCGCACGCTCACGATTATCCTGACGGCGCATATCCATCTCCGTCAGGCGGTCCCAACGCGCCTGGGAAACAAGGACTTGCCCGGAAGGCGGCGCCGCGGCGAGATCACTCTCGCGAACAAGATAGGTGACGATGGAAGGGAGAGGATGATCGGGGTACCAGAGGTTGCGTCCGGAATCGAGGTCGTAATAAGCCCATTTCTCGCCAGACAGGCAGTTGGCGTTGAGAATGCAGGCGAAGTCGACGTAGCCCCACGGCATGTCCTTGAAGCGATTGGCGGGGTTGTTAAGGAGGTAATTGAAAAGGATGTACACGCGGACGAGAGCCGCGGGAACAACGTGGCTGGCTTCGAGGTCCGGGTCGCGAAGGAGGAAGGTGTGGTCATCGATGTGCTGAAGCCAGTGCGAGTTATTAAACTCGAGGAATTTGGCGAGAGCGACGATGTCATTGCGAAGAACACCGTTCACGCGGAAGCTGGATGATTGGGTGGAAGAGGAAGAAGATTTGTTGGAATGTTTGTGGTTGGGCATGGCGAGGGATGGAATGACGGTTGAGGAAGCAGAGGATGAGGAAGATGTAGAGGAGAACTCGGGGTTGAGTTCAGCGAACAAATCCAGAGAGTTTATATATACTTTCTGATTTGAGACAATCTTCTGATCCGTTTGAATCAAAACAATATCCGCTGAGAATGCGTCAATGTCTTCCTCGGGTAGTTTTCCAGACCCGCGCGGGAGTTCAGAAATTTCTGAGACTCCGAGTGATTCAAAATAATCCCGCAAGGCGGTGAGATGACTCGCCTGCGAATATGGCATCCAGGTCCTATCCCCAGACTGCCACTGAATTTCAAAGACAGCGTCAGCGCGTCGTCCAGAATGACCAACAATCTTATCAATAG